GACTGCTGCTGCTGTTCAACGCCAGACCCCCCTGCAGGAGCACCCACGACTCCACCACCACTAGGACTCGTAGCACCCCCAGTGTCAGCACCCCCAGAACCGGCACCCTCAGAACCAGCACCCCCAGACTCAGCACCCCTAGAGTCAGCAACCTCAGGACCAGCACCTCTAGAGTCCGCACCCCCAGTGTCACCAACCCCAGCGGCACCAGAGTCCACAGCGACAGGCTGCGGAGGCGGCGAAGACGGCCGAGGCGGAAAACCAGGAGGGGTCTCCAAGCGCGGGGAGCGGCGAGTCGCCGCCGTGTCATCAGCAGCAGGGTCACCCCCCTCAGCCGGGCCAGAGGTGTTAGAGGAGACCTCCAAAGGCTCAACCAAGGGGGGTGGGTCGACCTGAGACACACCTGAGGGCAACCTCCATGACCAAGCCAATGCGACGCTCAGCAATCCCATTCTGTTGTGGAGAGGCCGGAAGCGTGAACGATTGGACGATGCCCTCCGCACGACAAAAGTCCTGAAGGAGGCCGGAGGAAAACTCATCGCCTCTGTCAGAGTGCAGTCGCAGGACCTGGAGGTCTTGCTGAAACCACGCGCTCAGCTGGTGACGAACAGCGATGATACAGTCGATCAAAACACCGCGGACATCCGCCTTGCTCCGCAAGGGGAAGACCGTGGTGTAACGCGTGTAGTCGTCAACAACCAGCAGAAAGTAGCGCTCCTGGTCCTATCCACGGACGCGGGCTGGGCCCCACACGTCCATGTGGAGAGTCTGCAGAGGAGCAGTGGTCGGCGGAAACGAGGAGGAGTGAGGAGCGGCGCGCTGCCGCCCCTCGACGTAGGGAAGGCACGGTGGTGCAAGCGAGTGCGGGAGTGGGGGCAGGGACCTGGGGAGGCCAGAGACAAGGAGACGCGAGTGCATGTCACGCAGGCGCGGTAGGGAGGGGTGACCAAGACGGTGGTGCCAGAGGAGAGTCTGGTGCGAAAGTAGCCGGCACGAACAAGACGCAGCTAACTGACCCGACGCAGCCACCTGTGCAGACGCAGCCACCTGTGCGGACTCAGTGGTCAGTGTGTACAGGCTAGACCTAGGCCTCCGAGTGAACGTGGTGAGGTGCTCGCCAGTGCGTGAGTCTGAACAGATCGCCACACGCTCACCTCCAGGAGTAAAGGTACTTACCAACTTGTCCTGGAGGACAGCGTTACTCACCAAGTTCTTTGAGAACGAGGGGATGTGGAGACCTGCGAGAGAACCGGAGGGGATTGCCGGACAAGGGAGGACAGTGGAGGCTCGTGCAACGACTGGGCCCCCAGAGGGGTCAGCCAGAGAGACTGAGACAGGTGGTGTGAGCGGTGTGACTGTGGTGCAATCGCGAAAGAAGCAGCGAGACGCGCCTCAGTCAAGTGTGAAGGTGTGCAAGGCCTCAGCAGAAGCAGTACCTGCGGCAGCAGACTCACAAGCACCTAGAGCAGCAGCCTCTACACCAGCAGCGCGCGGCACACACAAGTTTCAGTCACCCTCAATACTAGCAGAACCAACATACGTAGCATAGATTCCAGCATTGATCTTGTCAAAGTCAAGAGCAAACACATCTACCCCCTTCCCTAGCAACGCTAACCAGTTGGGGATATCTTGCTCATCTCCGTACTCGGTGCGCCAGGCATCCTCGAGACGGCAGAAGCAACGATACTCAGTGTGCCCAGTCTTCCCGCAGGGCTCACCAGTCCTGAGACACGTGCGCCTAATGTACGGGCAACGAACATTAGCCCCAGTGGAGCCATGCTGGACCACCCACTCACGAAGCTCCTGAGGGGTGCGTGGCTCCTGCTGGCGCGGCTGGTGCTGCTGTCCACCCCCAGTGCCTCCGCCGCCACGAGCTGCACCACCAGTCGCCGTCCCATAGCCTCCGCCCCTGCCAGCTCCACCCCGACCGCCACCCGAGCCCCCTCCGCCCACTCCACCGCCTCCACCACCCTGGCCACCTCCACTGCCGCCACCACCGCCTCCACCCCCGCCACCACCACCACCACCGCCTCCACCCCCACCACCACCACCGCCACCACCCCCGCCACCACCCCCTCCAGTGCCCCCCCCACCACCCTTACCCCCCTTGCCCTTGCCGCTGCGGCGCCTCCCACTAGGAGCAGACGCAGCACCGACCTCCTCAGTACGAAGGAAGTCAACAGCAGCAGCAGTAGCAACGGGCGCGAGAAGGGAGGGAGAACATCCCTCAAAGAAGGGGGAGCGGGGAGTGCCACGAGAGGCAGCTACAGCGACAAAACTGGTCTCGGCCTCGAGGAGATGCTTCTCCAGCAAGGCAAGGGTGATCTCGGTGGGGTCAAGAGCAAGGAAGTGATCCCTAACGGCGCGGAGGGAGTTAGGGAGGCGAGTAACGAGGTAGTAGAGTGTGATGTACATCGGAGGCGGGTTCGCAGCCAGAAAGGCTGGCTTGAGAGCGGCACGGTAGCGAGCGTCACTAGAGCGAAGGTGATTTCGATTTCCAACTCCGACAAACAAACGTGGTCCGATTTCGTCCCGTGATTGGTCGCGATTTGGTTTCGGAGCTTCGCCAACCAAAACACCTGAACTGTACCCCCCTTCGAACCCCCTTCAAAAACCAAGGTATTTTTTTATGTCATGAGGTCAGCGACAGTGTGGAAATCCGACAGCTCAGGATGGAGGTACGGCAGCATGATACGGCCTAGGGCAGCAGTAGAGGGGGAGGAGTAACGAGAAACTACGGCGTCATAGAGTTCCTTCGCCGTCTTAAGCTGACCGAAATTGACTCGTTCCTCAGGCGGGAGGGCATTGCGGACAGAAAGGCGGGCGGCAGCATCGCGGGTGAGCCACTGAGTAAGAAGAGCACGCTGAGCTGAATCCTCAGGGGCAAGGCAAGTACCGGACGTGTGCTCTAACAGTGAAACGTCCTCCCTAGCCATGCTCTGCACGTACAGCTGGAGATCCTCGAGCCAGCAGTCAAACCTAATCGGGCGACCCTCCGCGTCAAAGGCAAGGACATTAAGAGTAGCCATCGTGAGCAGCAACAGTAGCAGCAGCAGCAGCAGCAGTAACAGCAGTAGCAGCAGCAGCAGCAGTAGCAGCAGTAGCAGCAGCAATAGCAGCAGTGCGGCAGCAAAGACAGGTTGGCCGGGCAGCTAGGCAGTGCGGCGCGGCTCGGCAGGGCAGCGCGGCTCGGCAGGGCGGCGCGGCTCGGGCAGTGCGGCGCGGCTTGGGCACGGCTGGGCAGTGCGGCGCTGGCAGCAGCAGCAGCAGCTGAGAAGCAGCTGCAGCGTGTACAGGGCGCGTGCAGGCAGCGCGCTTAGGGCCGCGTGCGGGCTGTGCGGGCAGAGCGAGAGCAGGGCGGGCCGTAAGGGCAGCGCGCGGGCGGCGCCAGCGGCGTGCGGGCAGTGCGCGGGCAGGGCGCGCGGTGCGCGGGCAGGGCGCCGGCGGTGCAGGCAGCGCGCAGGCAGTGCGCGAGCGGGGCAGACAGCGCGCGGGCAGGAAATGCAGCGCGCGGGCAGCAGCAGCAGCGCGCAGGCAGCGCAGGCAGCACGCGGGCAGTGCAGGCAGCGTGCGGGCAGGGCGCGCGTAGGCCTCAGGCAGTGCGCGTGCAGGCAGCGCGAGCAGGGCGCGAGCAGGGCAGCGTGCGGGTCGCGCGCTAGGCAGCAAGCGGGCAGCGCGGCGGGCAGGGCAGAGCGCGTGGGGCAGCGCAGGCAGGGCAGCGTGAGGAACGCTGTTCGGGCAGGGCAGTACGGGCAGTTCGGGCAGTTTGGGCAGGTCTAAACTAGCGGTGGGCCCTAACGGAGCGGTCCTACGGAGGATGGACCCGCCCTGAATACCATGTCAGAAATAGAATGTAGGAATCATGGACTAGGTAGCAAGGATGAGTACAAGTACTACCTAACCCTAAAGTGTTGTACTCCTTAGAGTATTCCCCACTACAGCCTAGAGAAAACAAATGCAATTTGACACATTTCTGTTAGAGTTAGGTTTCCTATATCTTTGTTGTTTGTTCATTCCTTAGTCATTCATTCTTGAGTTCTTACTTTCACAAGGGGTGGGATACAGTAGGAGTGTCGAGAGCATTGTTGTCACTATAGCCTAGAATACCTAACTAGGATGTATATAATTTGACAGCTCTCTAGCCTACCACTCGTCAAAGTTCAATGCAATGTAGCCTGCAAATAGCCTCCCATTGGTCAATCTCAGCTTGTTGATAAGCCGATTCCAGTTTGAACCCAGAACTCCCACAAAGTAATAACACTCTGAGGACACCAGCAGGTTGGCAAAACTGGCTCCCACCACAGGAGCCATGCCAGTGCGACGAAGATAATGCGACATGGTTTCCTTGCCCATTTGCCGTGGCACCTTGGAATAAAAGAAGTTCCAGTTGCCATAACGAGACGAGCTCTTTACCACACTCTGGAAGGGCAGAAGCGACAGAGGGCAAAGCAGAATGCAAAGCGACAGATGGCAAGGGCGTGGTTGGTATTGGTGTGGAAAGAAGAGGCATGATGATTGGATGATGGGTGTGCCACAAAGAGACGCCCAGTCAATTAAAAAAGGTTCCAGGTGGCAGGCACCTATCACAGCGAGGCTCTGTCAGGCCCTTATCACCAGCGAAAGGACACACTATGACCTGCTCACACACACCATGACTGCTCACACACACCATGACTGCTCAATATGTATCTCTGAGCTTCGCCACCCATGCCCTTATACCCTCTTCTTCCCACCCCTTGGCTTATCTTCCCACACTGCACACCCAGTACCTGAACCCCTGCACCTTTGTGCTCAGCCCCTCACCCACCTAGACTCCTTACCAGAATCTCACCACCTCCCCCTCACCTGCATCTCCCTGCCTCACCCGCATCTCAGTGTCTCACCTGCATCCCTCTTCACCTCACCTGCATCTCTCTTCACCTCACCTGCATCTCTCTTCACCTCACCTGCATCTCTCTTCACCTCACCTGCATCTCTCTTCACCTCACCTGCATCTCTCTTCACCTCACCTGCATCTCAGTGCTGAGCCACACGTTGTGCAGGGCGGGGTCGAGGCGGCGCAGGCGGTTGGCGAGGAAGACGAAGGAGGGGAAGGAGAAGAGGCGCATCTCAAACGCCTTGTCGCCCTGCCGCACATGCACACTCACCATCGCCCGCGGCATGTACACCTCCCCCCCCACTCCCCCTCCACCATCCCCACCACCATCAGCAGGCTGCTGAGAGGAGAGCAGCAGTGAGCGTGCTTGCAGCGCAGCAGCAGTGCTGCCAGGCTCTGCCACCGGTAACACCAGCTGCGAGGCGTCCGCCTGTCCCACGCCCCCTGCCCACGCGCCCACGGCCTCTGCAAGCAGGTGCCCGCGCAGGTCCTCCCCTCCCAGGCTGCTGGCGAGCTGGGCGGCCATGCTGAGCACGTGCTGCTGCCGGCGCGTGGCGGCCGCTGTGCTGCGCGCCACGTGCATGCCGAAGGCGCGGTGGCGGTGGCGGTTGAGGAGGTGGCAGAGGTACGGCAAGGGCCAGCGCAGCATGAAGCGCAGCGCCTGTGCCCGCCACCACTGCACCTGCAGAGAGAAAAGGGTGAAAGGGGGGGGAGGGGGATGGCCAAGAGAGGGGGCGTGGGAGGGAGGGAGAAGGGAAATAAGGCAGCCCCTACGCTTGAAGCGCAGCCTGCCCACAGACACAGAGAAGGGCCTCACAATGTGGCAGGCGTGCAAGCAAGAGGCGTGCGGTGCGGGTGCGCTTGGGATACCTTGAGCACGGTGGTGTTGCTGCGCACCAGCTCCCCGATGACCTCGTTCGTCCCTGTGCGCTCCCTGAACGCGCCCCCTCACAGCCTGCCGCCCCGTGCACACCCAGGAGGAGAGTGAGGACACACGGGCAAGGACACACGGGCGAGGACACACGGGCGAGGACACACGGGCGAGGACACGTGGCACGCGTGAGGAAGGGAGAGGGAGGGGTGGATGGCGTTGAGGTGGAGAGAGGCGAGGAGGGAGGGACTTCAAATGTAGGAGTGGGGATAGCACCAAGGAGCGGAGTGGATGGAGGAATGCGGTGGGGGAGGGGGGGATGGGGGGTCTGGGGAAGAGCGACAACAAGAGCACATAGCAGTAGAGAGCACATAGCAGTAGAGAGCACATAGCAGTAGAGAGTACATAGCAGTAGAGAGTACATAGCAGTAGAGAGTACATAGCAGTAGAGAGTACATAGCAGTAGAGAGTACATAGCAGTAGAGAGTACATAGCAGTAGAGAGCACATAGCAGTAGAGAGTACATAGCAGTAGAGAGCACATAGCAGTAGAGAGTACATAGCAGTAGAGAGTACATAGCAGTAGAGAGAACATAGCAGTAGAGAGTACATAGCAGTAGAGAGTACATAGCAGTAGAGAGTACATAGCAGTAGAGAGTACATAGCAGTAGAGAGTACATAGCAGTAGAGAGTACATAGCAGTAGAGAGTACATAGCAGTAGAGAGTACATAGCAGTAGAGAGTACATAGCAGTAGAGAGCACATAGCAGTAGAGAGTACATAGCAGTAGAGAGCACATAGCAGTAGAGAGTACATAGCAGTAGAGAGTACAAGCAAGTGCTGATCATGCGCATGTGAGCATCACGTATTGCATGCTCGTGTCGTCTACATGCAATGTGGCGGCACATCCACATTCACACAACATGCGAACCCATAACAAAGTCACACATTCACACATGCATACATGCACGAGCAGCAGGGGAGGAGGGGGTGCGTACTGGGCAGCGGCACCACCGAGGCGCCTGAGGTAGCGGCCGCCAGCCCAGTGGGGCAGCACGGGGCTGCACCCAAACACCACCACCGCATCCGACTCCAGCGTGCGCTTCGTGTCGTACCCACACCACCGCACCTCCCCACTCTCCGCCTCCCACTCATCCTCCCCCGCCCCCCCATCCTCCTTGCTCCCCCCATCCGCGCTGCCCACAGCGCTCTCTATCCCCCCCTGCCCCCCTCCAGCGCTAGCGGCTAGGGCGGTGGCGCGGGCAGCAGAGAAGCGGCGGCGCTGCATGGCGATCCAGGGCGACCAGGGGGAGCGCCCCTCCACCTCCACCTCAAACCACTCCATCGGCATGCTCCCCACCAGCCCCCGCTTCGCCTTGTACTCGTTATAAGCGCGCATGGCGATCTTGCGGCAGTGGATGGAGGCGAAGGGGAGGAAGTAGCAGTCGAGCGAGCCGCGCTCCTCCGCGCCCTGGCACTCGCTGTGGTCCGCCTGCGGGAAGCTTCCTGGCACGATGACGAGCGTGCGGTTGAAGAGCACGGCGACGCTCAGCATGGCGCCTGCGGGGGTAGGAGTAGGGACAGGATGGAACGCACGGGGGGGTAGGAGCACGGCGGTTGAAGAGCACGGCGACGCTCAGCATGGCGCCTGCAGGGGGGGTAGGAGTAGGGCGCATGGAACGCACGGGGTGAGGAGGGACAGGATTGGATCGGAGGGAGTGGAGCACGTGCGAAGGAGGGAGTGGAGCACATGCGAAGGAGGGGACGAAGGCGGGGCGAGGGGGCGCGGGAGCGCACCGATGACGTGGAGCTGCGAGCCCAGCCCGTGCCACGTCATGTCCAGCCACCGCACGAGCAGCAGGCGGCGGCCGCGGCACTGGTGCGGCGGGAACTGGTGCTCCCACAGGTCCCTCTGCGCCTCCCGCGTGCCGCCCAGATTGCCCGCCTCCGACCCGCGCACCTGTGAGGGGGTAAGGGGGCGGGGGCGGGAACGGGGTGGGAAGGGAGGATGAGGCGGGAAAATTTGGGAAAGAGCAATTGAAGACGAGAGAGGAGTGAGAGGGGCGGGCGAGGTGCAGCAGAGAGGCACGCAGGCGCACTAATAAACGGTTTGATGCGCTGCTTCCCCCGCCACAACCTCCCGCGCCAGCACGTACCCACGGGGGTTGGGGAAGCCGCTCTCGTGCCCACGCGGGCGACTCTCCCCGCGGCCCGCGCCTCTCCAGCGCTTGGCGCGCGGCAGTCCGCGCGCTGCAGGCTTCTAGGTGCGGCGCGCGCGGCACCCCTGGCGGCAGCGAGATCGTCGCGGGCGGCTCGATACTCGACTCGCGCAGGCGGTACGCGCGCTTCCATTGCTGGCATCAGGACGGGGGGGGGGGGGGGGGGTGCGGGAGAGATAAAGGAAGGGTGTGGGAGGGCGTGGGTGTGTGGGAGGCGGAAGGTGTGTGGGATGCGGAAGGTGTGTGCGAGGCGGAAGGTGTGTGGATGCAGAAGGCTTGTGCGAGGAGAAAGGTTTGTGCGAGGCGGAAGGTTTGCGCGAGGCGGAAGGTTCGTAAGTGCGGGAGATGTGGTGCCGTGTCGAGCGACGCTCACCGCGTACAGCAGAGCCGCGTCGTCCTCGTCGTCCTGCGTGCTGTTCGCCGCGCCGCGTGCCCCGCTCGTCACGGAGGCCGTCACAGGCCATGCGAAGAGGCAGCCGATCGCCGCCGCCGCCAGCAGCCCCGCCCACAGCACGAACCGCAGCGGCGGCCTTCGGACCGCCGCTCCCCGCGAAACAAGGGACGTCGTCTTCATCAATGAGAGGTTGCGCTTCATCAACGGATCAGCGGTTAGCGGATGAGCCGTATCGCATCAATGACCGTATCGCGTCGATGATAAGCCGTATCGCATTGATGATATGCGACTGGACGAGGCGTCGCGATTAACGTAGCGTCGCTTCTCGCAGCAGCGCGAGGGGAGAGCTAAGATGAATCAGCTTAGGGATTTAATAAAGGGAACTTGCTAAGATGAGCAGTGCATTGTGCTCCTTGCCCATGCCTCAGACACGGTCACGTTTCTAGCCGTAGTAACTCGTGCGAGCGTCGAATCCCTATGTCGGCCTAAACTTAGGCGTGGTTCCGTGAGGTCGCCGCCCGAATTGAGTGTGGTACATTCAGAACTAGACACGAACGGGCAGCCTTGCGGTATCAAAGCGTCTGGGAGAAAGTATAGGGGATATTAAAACGTACACCACGCCCTTTATTGGCTCGTGTACCAGATCTACTGCTCTGGTGTGTGCTGCTCTCGCTGCTCCCCTCAACTCGAGAGATTTTCTACAGAAACCTGTTTCTGTAGCAAACCTCTCTCTCAACTCACTCCTCCGTAGCGCGAATGCCAATGCGTTGTGTTGTGTTGTGCTCGGCCTGCCTGCTGACACACACTTTACAGTTCAGATCAGCCATCCCGCCAACCAGCCCTACAGTACATGGCCGTATTGGAATGCGCGATATAGCGATGCACCGAACTGATATCCTATTAGCAGCGACGATCTGGCGGCTCGGTGTGTTGCCAGATTCAGGCGGTTGGACAGAACGCAACCCGGCGTGTCAGAGGTGTGTTTAGCAATTACAGTACACTAAGGAGTTATAAATTGTCCTGTCTCAGCGTACCTGTAACTTGCCTCTTCAGAAAAGGCCGTTCCTTAAAAAACATATATATATATATATATATGTTTCCTCAAACATTTCAGCGATGTATCACTAAGCTCTTGGGTTTAATATATTCTAATTTCAGTGGGTCTTTTATATGATCGTCAAGTTTCATTGCAGTAATGTAACATCGGATATGTTTCTGATTGTTGCGTGACCCAGTTAGTCTGATGTTGGAACTCGATAATACTGATTATAGTAGTGTGATTCAAGAGTTTGTATATTAGAACAGTAGATATCTTAAAAATTGTTTGGATAGTGATAAGGGCATTTGGGAAAGACATTGGAAGTCTTGTGATGGCATTGTCACAGTAGATGTAAATAACAAGCGAGGCACAAGGGCCGAGGACAAGAGCACGAGCGAGAGGGCAGCACTATCGGGAGGACTGCTGCAACTACGGACAAGGGACGGATGGAAGCAGGTACCATCGCCTAGAAGCGATAAAATATCATTCAATAAATGCACTTCCGCCACAATGGGCCACTACGGACAAGCAGCCACTGCAGACAGGGTGGTGGTGGGCAGTGATGCAGGTGAGCGTTGAGGAGTGGGTGGAGAACTACGACCTTTGCTACAAAAATTGGGCCTCATTGGAGCGAGGCAATATATAGCTACAACATCTGCTTATTACAGAGCTGGATTATCGTTGGTCGCTGGACCTGGTGGGCGAGCTGCCTCTTTCCAGGAAGGGCAAGCGCCGCATTGTGCTCATGATAGAGCATGTCCGTAAGTGGGTAGATACAATAGCTCTAGGGACAGAATCGGTGGTGGTGGTAGCGGAGGCCTTCGAAGAAATTGTCCTCACCCGGTTCGGAGCATGTGGCGAGAAATGCACAGACCAATCAACGGAGTTAAAAGGGGAATTTGCCGCACTGTTGGGGTCCCAGCGGTATACAACAATATACAACCTCCAAGTACCGCCTCCAGAGCGACGGGCTGACGGAAAGGTTGGTCCAGACCATGAAGCGCGGGCTTAGGACGTGGTAAAAGTGCCCATTTTGGAGGATCGGATCGTGATTGTTTATCGACTCTCACAATCGCTATAAGGAATTGATCGGTGAAACAATGCACAGAGGCCACCAGTTTTAAACACTTTCGTACACGCACATCTGCGGAGATCGCAAATCACACGGCAACCCGTCTGCGAATTGACGGCCCTATGAAATGTGGTTTACGAAACTTTTGCACTTCGCAAGCACGTGGATCAGTCGTTATTGTTATGCTCGGATCGTCGCGCATTTCATTCCTGGCAATGTCGCGATGATCACCACAAATTGGCGATCAGTCGTCTCGTCTGAATGGATGTGTATTTTAGCCAAATTAGCCACTGTAGCTTGGTTATAAGCTAGTAAATAGAGTAACCAATCCGCACATCGATCGCGTCTGACGATCGATCGTCTAATTTTACCGCGTCCTTAGAGAGTACGGCGAGAATCACAAGGCACTGGGACAAGTAGCTACGATGGGCAATGGTGAAGTACATGTTTAGCAAGCAGACGATACTCTGGGGCGTATCGCCCTAAGAAATTGGTCTTGGCCGTGGGGGCACCGAAGCTTCTGACCGACACTGTCATAGCAGGAACAAATAATATAAGGCTAAAGAAAATTACTTAAGGCAACTGCCGCCAGCGAAATCGGAGAACCTGAATGTGGCCCACCTTCGCGACATTCAACGTCACAAACAGAGGTACCAAAATGTAGGGCGTCCACATGCTGGAGGCGTGGAGGCGGGACAGGAAGTCTATATCAGGCGGGCAAGATAGAATGGATTGGACCAAGGGCTATCATATCAAAGCTGGATGGTGAGAGAGGTGCGAGAATCAGGCATGCTTGTGCTTGAAGATGAAGGGGTCACGAGGGCGATGGACCATGTTACCAGCATGGCAGTTGCTGGAAGACGACAGCCGCCTGCGCAGAACTCAGGTCCCATGACCAGGGCGAGGGCGACTGTAGCTGGTCATGGGAGGGGGCAAGAAGAGGAGTAGTAGAGGGAGTAGCTCCCGGAAGATCCTACAAGCAACAAAAAGGATGAATGGATTAGGGTTAGCGAAAGGCACAAGGAGTAGGGTAAGGATGGTTAGGGTAGGCTCAGTAGGGAAGGAGAAAGGGGGCCAATGATGTAGCAAAGGTGCTTGCAACAGCAAAGGCAGGGAGAGAAAGACAAAGACATGATGGGAGACAATGGTGGTAAAAGGATAGGTGATGGTTTTTTTCGGACAGTGCGTCATTTCTTTTAAATGTTTGGTATGATGGCTGTGTAGGTGGTTGTGATATTTTGCTCTAGCTGATTGTGGGCTCAGGGCTTGGGCAAAATCGGCAGGAATTGAACTCGCACTCAACAAGCACCAACAAATATTTGCTTTCATTACAACACATTTGGTGTTGCTAGTTTGACACTTTGGGTTGTTGGGAATTGTTGTAGGGCGAGGGTTGGGATTCTAGGGTTTGCCAAACTCGTGACTTTTCATATCTGAACTCTTGCTAAAGCTATTCCTAGATCTAATCCATGGCTTCCTAGGAATTCCGCCAGGATACCCCGTCGCACTCAAATCGCGATAGCGATCGGCCTGGATCTAGGTTGAAGGCATGCTTTACCATTCTGGAGAGTATAGATTGAGCTTTTACGTGAGCTACACGCAATATACCGTCCAAGTTGGCGGACTTAATCTCCTACTATACTCTCTACAGTCGCACACTATCCATCAGTGGTATCAGAGCTGGTTAGACCAGCGACATTCCCTCGTATTATCGGATTTCGAATTGGGACCTCTAGATCTAGGGTTAGTCATGGCCCAGAAATTAGATGGCCCTCCTAGGTTCACCAGCTCGGATTTTTCGCTATGGCGGTTCCGGTTAATGTTTTGGCTAGGTTTTAAAGACCTAGAGGGCGTTTTGGAGGGATCGGAGGGAAGACATGAAGCTGATGAAGGAGAGGCATCTGCTGGAGTCTCTAGCCAAGTGGGAGCAGGGGCTGGGGGAGCCTCTAGCTCATCCGTAAGTGAGGGAAGCGGAGGTGGATCAGCAGCAATGCGAACCATAAGGCAACGTCCTAGTGCAGTGGAGCTACTAAAGGCACATGAAGCATGGGACCGGAAGGACAAGCAAGCATTATGGTACTTGTGTTGGGCCTTGGAGGGCCAACTAGAGCTCCTGAAGATGCTAATTGACCTGAAAGAGAGGCAACATCTTGTGGAGTGTGTGAAGCAGGGGGAGCTGAAGGGGGTGGAGATCAAGGAGGGTTGTGGGCAGCCAAGCAAGTGCCCTGATTGCACCGCCGGGAAGCTGCCAAGGATCTCCTTCCCTACCTCCACCTCTAGAGCCTACGCACCTCTTGAGTACGTGCACATGGATGTGTGTGGCCCCATGCAAACTCCGGATAGGGAGAAGTGTAGCAAGTACTTCATCACCTTCCTGGATGACTACATCCGCCTCAGTTGGGTCACCTTGGTGAAAACCAAGGATGAGGTGGCCACGGTCTTCAAGCGTTGGATACGCTATGTTGAGAGGTAATCCGGGGCCAAGGTGAAGATACTAAGGTCTGATCGGGGTGGGGAGTACATGGGGAAGGATCTAGAGACCTTCCTTGAAGACAAGGGCAGCGGAGCCGCTAAACCGGACCCTCATTGACCTTCCCGATCCATGCTTGCTCATGCGCAGCTGGACCATAGTTGGTGGAGGCAGAAGTGCAATACGCCAATTGGGTTAAGAAACGGATGGGCAGCAAGGGGATAGTGGGCAAGAGCCCATACTTCATATGGACTAGGAAGGTGCCTAGTGTGTCCATTGTGAGAATAATACGAGGAAAATGAATGCATTGAGCAGAATGAGGAGTACAAGTAGGAAAACCTAAAAGTGTTGTACCCTATATTGACTACCCCACTACAGCCTACACAGACTATGTCATATAAGTTTGACACACCCCCATAGGCAAAGTGGGGGAGAACAAGAGGTCACAAGACCAGTCAAGAAAAGCAAAGCAAGCTCAGGGTGGATCTCAAGGATACCACACAAATTCCGAGCACAAGCAGGCGGTCACAAGACCAGTTCACATGCAGTTTGATATATAAGAAGAGGTACAGTGATCACAACCTAGCAAGTGTAAGCAT